AGTTGAAGAATGCGGTCTGCAGTATGGATTACATCTCAATATAAAGAAAACAAAAATCCTCCCAACTGGACCAACGAGCAGCATCACAATAAATAGAAGATTGAGATTGTCAAAGAATTCACGTTGCTTGGTTATACAATCAATGCCAATGGAAGCAGCAGTCAGGACATTAGATGATGTGTAGCATTGGGAAAGTCAACCGCGAAGGAACTGTTTCAAGTGCTGAGGAGCAAGGATGTCTCCTTGAGGACTAAGGTCACCTGACACAAGCTGTGATATTTCCAATTGCCTTGTATGCATGTGAGAGTTGGACAATGAATAAGGAAGACCGAAGAAGAATTGATGCTTTTGAGTTGTGGTGCTGGCGAAGAATGCCGAAAGTACCGTGGACTGCTAAAAGAACTAACAGATCTGTCCTGGAGGAAGTGCACCCAAAATGCTCCTTGGAAGTGAGAATGGCCAGACTTCGTCTCACCTATTTTGGTCATGTTGTCAGAAGGGACCATTTTCTGGAGAAGGATGTCATGTTTGGTAGGGTGGAGGGTCAACAAAAGAGGGAGAGGCCTTCAATGAGGTGGATTGACATGGTAGCTGCGATGATGGGCTCAAGTATAGCAGGGATCACGGAGCTGGCATGGGATCAGGCAGTGTTTCGTTCTGCTGTGCATGGGGTTGCTATGAGTCGGAAATGACTCAACGGCACCTACCAACAACAACAACAACAACTTATCATGGGGAATACTACATCTAGCTGCCCAGCCACTCAACCAGGTCCAGCTAAGTTGAGTCACAAACTTAACTACCGCAAATGGGCTTAGGTATAGCAAGGATTGTGAGGCTGGCGCAGGATCAGGCAGTGTTCTGTTTTGTTGTATATAGGTGCTCTATGATTTGGAGATGACTCGACAGCACTTAACAACAAAAACAGTTGACAACACGTTGGTATGTTCTGGAACAGAGAAAAGGCTGTTGTCACTGGTGGTAGCTGATGTAGGAGGCATGGCCTGCATCATATTTGGTCTTTTAGATCATGGAAAGGAATTGACTATATTTGTTCTTTGGGAAATACATTTTGAGCAGAGAACTAACATGGTGATTGATAAGATTTTGATAAGATTATCAGATCCCTCTGGATGCTGGTAGTAGAGAAAATTCACAACAAACAGAGCCAAAGAGGCTCTTCTGGATGGCCCAAGGACACTAGTGAGAAGGTGTCAGAGCTGAGTTATATTTTGAAGGCAGAGCTGACAAGACTTGCCAATGGGTTGGCACATATGGGGTAGGGGGAGAGATGGATCAAGGATGACCTTTGGGCTCTGAGTCCCTGGGGAAAGGGATGTGTTGTATGTTATGCAACCCCATAAGGAAGACAGTGAAAGGCAGCATTTTGGGGGGATGGAGTAGGCACAAATAAAGAGTTCTGTTTGGGACAGGTGAAATGTTAGATGACCTTAGTCCTTTAAGTCGAGATGCTGAGGAGTCAGGGGATACCAGAGTCTGGAGTTCAAGGTAGCAGTCAGACATTTAAACTATTCTTTTTCAGAAGTCTTTAGGAGCTTTGGGTCTTATGGAAACATATGGTATTTTGCAGACATTTTGTCTGAGCTCTGGAGAGCATATTGGGGTGTGTTAAGATTTCTCACATCCTTCCTGGGAAGACAGTCACATGAGGAGTGACAGGAGCCCTCTGCAGGTACACCCACTGCATTCTAGTGAAATATTCCTAAATATTTTTCTAGACTTAGGCAGCTTTTTTTTTTTCCTGAATTCTTTTATGCACATTCTCTTTATTAAGTCTAACATCTTAAGACTTAATATATTATATTAAGCTTTACAAACTGGATATATTAAGACTAAGTTTATTAGATTTCATTTCCTATTTGTATATGGAATTCAAGATAGTAATTCAGATCTAATAAGTTATGAATCATGCTCACCCAATAATGGGCATGCCTGATGTTTCTGTCTGAGAATCTTATATGTGAAAATGGAAGCCTGTTGTCCCTTTACCATGTACAGATAGCCATTGTGTACAGTCACTGTGAACATCAAGTGTGTTATAGATCAGAAGATGCAAAGAAAAAGGGGAGATGATTAGGGACGGATGACGGCTCAGTGTGGAAAAACCTATAAGCCAGAAACCACTTATTTATTACACTTGGATGAGTTTCCCTGGCTGGGCCTCTTCTTATTTCAGTTTAAGTCCCTTTTGCTCTGTACCGTCCAAAGCACCCCCCCAGCCAGCCAGACTAGAACATGTACTTTATTTCCTAAGCCATTGACCTCTATGTGTATCATTGTGTTTGCAATATTTTCTGCGTTTTGTTCTATTAGCAAAGCTGGCCATGTTTACATTTGATTTGTGAAATGATTTATTCTGGACCGACCAGAGAGGAACCTCAAATGTCACTGACTACATCATTGCCTCCTCCATGGGATTAAACACGTGGCTGACAGTAATGTCCACCATGCATGCGCTGTGGAGGAACCTGGGTGGCAGGACTCTAGGTCGTGTTCAGATGAGCAGATGCCCCGCAGACTCTGGAAAGGCCAGTCTTCTCGCCTTTCAGCAGTGTGACAGCTGTGGGACAGTCAGCAAGTACTGAATTTCTCTCTGCCTGGGAGGAATTATACTCTGATACTTGAGTTCAATGAATGGGTGCCTGTAAAGCACTTAGCAGAGTACCTGGTACATAAAAGGAACTTAATAAACTTTAGTTCCCTTTCTAACCCTCAATGTCTCTTATTCATCAGCAAACAAAGCACTGTCCAAAGCAGTGTCCATAGGCATGCACTCAGAAAACGCAGATACCAACCAGTAAGTGGCTATCTGTTGTTAGTTGCCAACAAGTTGATTCCGACTCGACTCATGGCGAACTCATGTGCAGAGCAGAACTGCTCCATAGAGTTTGCAAGGCTGTGACCTTTTGGAAGCAGGTTGACAAGTCTGTCTCTGAGGGACCTCTGGGTTCCAACTGCCAGTTTTTCGACGAGTAATCAAGCGTTTAACTATTTGCATCAACCAGCGACTCTGAGTGCCTGTTAGTGAAGACAGATTTAGCTTCGGAACCAACCTAGACTGAAAAGGCAAAGAGAAATGAACATTCAGAGACATATTGGAAACGGACTGCAGTGGTACTCAGTGTGCTCGCACGACCAGCAGCATCAGCATCACTTGGGAGCTTGTTAGAAATGCCAATCCACAAAGATAATGAGTCAGAAGCTCTGGGTTTGAGGCCAGCCAATCTGTGTTTGTAGCAGGCCCTAGAGGTAATTCTGATGCACTCTCCAGTTTGAGAACCACTGATGTAAGCCCAGCAGATCCTGGGTGAGGAATAATGGCCTGTGCTGTGTGTGCACATTTGTGTGGACACACTCCATGTGTCTGGAATGTTTGTAATTGCTGAAAGTATTAGCCAAAGATGGTACTGTGAGCAAACTTTATTCAGATTGGCTATCAATGACCTGTTTTTCTTTGGTACCATTGTTTGACTAGACATTTATCTAGAATGCTTTTTTCTTTTCTTCTTTTTTATTGTGGTTTGGGTGAAAGTTTACAGAGCAAATCAGTTTTCCATTCAACAATTTACACACATTGTGTTTTGTAACATTAGTTGCACTTCCCTCAGTATAAGAGCACTCTTCCTCTCTGGGCTCCCATTCACCCATCAGTTCTTCTTTCCTGCCTTCTAGCTTTGTTTGGGGCAAATGCTGCCTTTTGGGTCTCACGTGATAAGTCATTCTGAGGAATACATTCCTCATGAGTGTTACTCACTTCGTAGGCCTGTCTGTTGTTTAGCGTCAGGGTGGTCCCTGAGGGTTGGTTCAGTTCCAGGCTTGAGGGGTGTCTAAGGGTCACAGTCTGGAGGTTCTACCAGTCTCAATCAGACCAGTAAATCTGGCTTTTTATTTATTTATTTTTAATGATTTGAATTTTGTTCTATATTTTTCTCCCATTCTGTCCAGGACCATTCTGCCCAATCAGAGCAGTTGGGAGTGGAAGCCGGGAAACCATCTAGTTCTTCTGGTTTCAGGGTAGTGCAAGCTGTGTTTGCATGGTCCATTAGTCCTTTGGAGATACCAATAGTTGCATCTGAGATGGTTGCTCACTAAGACCTCAATCAACACTCACTATAATACGATGTAGAACATTGCCTTTGTGAACTATGTTATGCCAATTGACTTAGCCGTCCCCTGAGACTGTGGTCCTAAGCCTCCAAGCCCAGTGACATTACCTCAAGGAGTTTGGTTATGGCTAGGAATTTTTTATAACTTTGAGCTCTGTTTGCTCTACTTTATACATGGATATATTTATAGTACATATACATATACAATACATATACATTCAACATACACAAATATATATGTAGAAATATCTTCTGCCAAACACATATATGCTCATGGGTGAAGTCCCATTCATCTGCTCATACCTGTTCAGCTTGCATGTATGCCTGTGTATCTACTCGTAGAGTATTGTTTGTAATTACTGATACTGTAGGATTGTATACGTAGTAGTGTTTACCCTTGTTGTCTGTAACTCTGGTGCACCTCTCACTGTCTTCCTTTGCCTTAGTCATATTGTGATGATCTCCTGCTTATTGTATATTGATTTTGTCTTCACCCAAATTAATATGTGTCTACTATCTAGTTTGTGAATTTCCCTTCCCTCTAGTCCTTGGTAGTCATCCAAGAATGTTTCTTTCTGTAGTTACACCTTTTTGTGACTTTCATCATAGTGGACTCATACAATAGTTGCCCTTTTGTGGTTGACTTATTTCACTCAGCGTTATGTTCTCCAGATTCACCCAGTTATGAAATGTTTTGTGGATTTGTCGTTATTCTTTAATGTTGCAAAATATTTCATTGTGTTTATGGACCACGGTTTGTTTATCCATTCATCTGTTGATGGGTAGAATGGTTATTTGCAATGACTTGGCATCAGATTCATTTTGAGGTTTAAAAAAAATGATTTATCAACTTTTTTCTTCTTTTTTTCCTAGGAAATTCTACTTATTTGGATGACCATGGGCCACCTCCTAGTAAGGTAAGGTCTTTGCTTAAATCTCTTTTTCTTATTCTTGATTCCTGGAGCTTGGACTCTAGTACCTCCTGGGCCTCCAGCAAACACAACCACATTCCTCTTGGCCCTGAATTATTTGTAAGAAAATCATAGATCAGAGATGTCAAATTAATCTTTGGTGTATAATGAGAATGACAGGGAAGAGCATGAAGGTAGCCAAAATGGCAAGGGGGTAAGGAAGGGTCATTATTTAACCAGAGGTTGTAGCTTCCCAAGCATCGGAGCCTTGGGCTGACTTCAGACCTTTGGCAGCATCTGTTTTGCTGTCTCATCTGCCTTTGGCATCTGTGCTGGCCCCATAGTATGAGGTCCACAGCCTGGCCTCCCATGCCTTAGGGTTTGGGATTAGACTCAATGTCGGCCTACTCTCCCCTGCCTTGAATGGTATACTCCACCCAGTGCTCAAGCCCCTGAAACTGCCCTTCTCAGACTGTACCCTCACAAGACTGCCCTGGCTTGGCCTGGCCTGGGTGCTCACTTTTATTCTTCTAAACTGTTTTGGCCTAATTTTTTTGTTGTTGTTGAAGATATGCACAGCAAAACATACCAGTTCAACAATTCTACATGCATAGTTCAGTGACACTGATTACATTCTTCAAGTTCTGCAACCATTCTCACCCTCCTTTTCTGAATTGTTCCTCTTCCATTAACATGAACTCACTTCCCCTCCCAAGCCTCCTATCCAGTGTTTTGAGTTGCTCCTGTCAGTTTGCTCCCATCTAGATGATTCTTCAAAAGGCCACAGTGCTCAAGGCAGGCATTCTTTACTAGTTAAGCTAAACTGTTGTTTGGTTTAAAGAGTATTTCAGGGGATAGTTTTGGTTTAAGGTTTAAAGAGTATCTCAGGGCAATAATTTCAGGGGTTCAGCCATCCCCGCTGGCTCCAGAAAATATGGATTTCATAAGAATAAGAAATTCTGGCCCAGATTTCCTCTCCCCTTTTGATCAAGATTCTTATGTAGACTTTTTGGTCAAAATATTCAGTAATGGTAGTGTGTTAACCTGGGTTCTCTAGAGAAACAAAAACCAGCAAAGCTTATATATATATGTAAGAGAAATTTATCTTAGGAAAATGGCTCACAAACGTATAGAAGCCGGCAAGTCCGAAGTCCCTGGAGCAAACGTCAGGCTGGAGGCCTTTCCTCAAAGGGAGCTGAGAAGCTCAAGGCTGGCAGGCAGTACACCAGCTATTGACTCCAACGAACAATGAATTGAAGATCTCCAGGCCGAACGGTGGACTGCTCACTCATGAACAGTTGCAGGCAGCACAACAGAATCCTGATCCACAGAAGAATGTCCCTCTTCCCAGGATGTCCCTGGATATCCTGGAAGCAGGCCACACCCCTAGGGAAACTCTCCTTGGGTGGATTGGCCACTCAGAACACAGTCATCCGATCCCATCATGGGAACAACCACACAGAACTGGGGTCTAGCCAAGTTGACACACAGCTCCAACTATCACAGGTAGTGATCTGAATTTTAAGTGATACATTGTTTTTATTGGCTGCCATCAAGTTGGCCCTGACACCTGGTGACCCCATACACAGTGCATCAAAACCCTGCCTGGTCTTGCACTGTCCCTGTGATTGTTTGCAGATTGTTGAGATTCAGAGTTTTCACTGATGATATTTTTGGCTAGTAGATCACCAGGCCGTCTTATCCTCGAAGCTCTGCTGAAACCTGTTCAGCATTGTGGCAGCGTACGAGACTCTAATGACAGACAGGTGGCAGTTGTGCTTCAGGTGTGTGGGCAGGGATCAAACTAGGTCTCTTGCATGGAAGGCAACCACTCTAGCACTGAACCACAGAGGGCCCTAGTGCTGTACTGGGAAGTGTTAGTGTAGTTTGTAATAACTGTTTACTTTGAGGATAGTGAAAACCAAATCCAGTCTACTGAAAAATGAAGAATGAAAGGATAATATAGTGATTTTTGAATGTAAGAAAATAAATGTAATGTAGCACACTGCCCATTAAACTTACATTCATTGTGCATTATATATATATATATATTTCTTACTTGTAGGAAATGGTGGTGACAATGATCAGAAAGGGGTTGTACTTGGCAAAATAAAAAGTTGGCAATGCTGTATCTATCACTTTACTTTAAACTTTTCTTTCTGGCCTATGAAGTTGTAAAGTGTAAATACCAGTGCTATAGCGCTTCCACTACTTAGTGGTTTCTGTTGTCTTTGACACTTAAAGTGACACCCTCTAAGTGCGTGTGTAAGTACATGGTGAGAAGATAATTGCCCACCAACTTTACAGGCTGGTCATTTACTCCAAAGTGGGTTTTTGAGTTTGGAGGCTTTTAGAAAGAACACCACCTGTCCAAGTGTATGAGCTTTGGCATAAGGGAGTTCTGGATTCAGTGCTGACTCTGGCCCTATCTAGCTGCATGACATTGGACAAATTTCTTAGTATGTTGAGCCTCAGTATTCTGATGTGCAAAGTGGGACTGAAAATACCCACAGCACAGGATGTCTGAAAGGATTGAATGGGTTGATGTATGATGAACACTCCACAGCCAGGATGTAATAAGCGTGGAATAAATGGTGATGAGTATTAACTAGACCGGGGAACATTAGGATTATTGATGAATGGTACGGTGGCATTTATCATAGTTGTGAATCGTTCTACCCCTTGATCCACTGCATACTTATCAAGTGCCTGTGGTGCTACACTAGGAATACCACAATGAAACAAAAGAAGACCCACAGTCACAGCCCCTAACCTGGAGGAGCAAGAGAATGAAGAGAGGATTGTGTGCCATCTGAGGATAAGGACCATGTCTGTCTCTTCTGTGTATCCTCAGATCCTTACGTCGTCAGTGCACAAGGAGCCGTAGTGTGACTGTTCATTCAGTACCACTGAACTGGACCATGGGATCCAGAGCTGGAGTATCAAGTAGATCCTCTGGCTTCCATCCCAGCTTCCTTCCCAAAAGCCCATGTTCTCGGACTTCAGCTTCTATCAGAATTACCTGGAGGCTTCTTAAAATACAGATTGCTGGGCCCAGCTTCCAGAGGTTCTGATTCACTAGGTCGACAGGTGGGACTCTGTTTATAAGACCTCACCTATTTGTAAGGTTTCCTATTTATAAGGAACCCTGGTGACATAGTGGTTAAATGCTTAGCTGCTAACAGAAGGGTTGACACTTGGAACTCACCAGAAGAGGGTTCCTTCAAGATGATCGCCTTGGAAACCCTATGGGGCAGTTCTACTCTGTTGCTGTGATGCACTAATGACTCATTGGCCACAGGTTCAGGGACGGATCCTGAGAATTTGCATTTCTAATAGGCTCCCAGGCGATGCTGATGCTGCTGGCCTGGGGACCGCACTGTTTGAGAACTACTGCTCTGGAAGCCATGAATATAAAGAAAGTCAAGTCCTTGGACACTTTCTGTGTTGGTTTGACTGCTAATTGCCTAGAGAGAGTGATGTGGTTTATTACATAAAGACTGTTCATGAACATCCAATGCCATTGAGTCAATTCCAACTCACAGCAACCCTATTAATTATGGAGTTGGTGAAGAATACTGAAAATACTGTGGACTGCCAGGAGAACAAACAAATCTGTCCTGGAAGTACAGCCGAGATGCTCCTTGAGGCAAGAATGGCCAGACTTCATCTCACCTACTTTGGTCATGTTATCAGAAGGGTCCATTCTCTGGAGAGGGATCTCATGCTTAGTAAAATAGAGGGTCAACAAAAAAGGGGAAGACCCTCAACAAGATGTATTGACACAGTGACTGCAATGATAGGCTTAAGTATAGCATGGATTGTGAGGCTGGCACACAACCAGACAGTGTTTCATTCCGTTGTGCGTAGGGTCACTATGAGTCAGAGCCATCTGGACAGCACCTAACAACAACATTTATTAACATAATGATGACTCACCATTTTAACTCTTCTCGTAGTGAAAGCATATTTTCTTTGGCCAATCATCTGTTGAGGAGAGAAAATAGGAGGGGAACATGAAGCATGGTGCTGACTGCCTGCTAGGTTCCCTGACCGCTAACTTCCCTTGTTTCCCAAGTAGGGTCCAGGCGATGTCCTCCCTACCTCATCTCAAGTTGGAGGACGTCACTGTGGGGCCCTCAGCCATTTCCCTCTATGGATTATCTGGATGTTGTTTCAGGTTTCAAGTTTGATCTATGAGCTATGACCTGGTCAGAAGACCCAGGCCCACCCTAAAAGAGCTTGCCTTTTTCCACTTTGTCCTGGGAAGAGTGGGCACCTATTCTATGTATATATGTATATAGAATATTTACAATCATTGAAGAAACTATTAACCAAGGATAGTAATGAGCAAACTCTGGCCAAATTGGCTATTGATTACTCATTTTTCTTTGGTATTGTTGTCTGACTAGACATAGACCTAGAATGCTTATTTTCAGTGACCTTGCACTAAACAAGAAGAATGGTACAGACAGCCTGTAGGATTTCCTTGGCACTATCTTTCCCTCCTGGGGCTATGCCTGTAGCCTGCCCCTCTGCCCTGCTCTTGATGGGTTGACCACCCTTCCTGTCTCTTTGACAGTATCCCCAGGGCCCAGGTCCTCAGTTTGCTAGGCGCAGTCCAGCTGCTTCCTGCTGGGCCTTCACTTGCAGTATCTCCTCCCACCTCTGTACTCTGCTCTGTGCTCACCTTTAGCACCTAACTGAAGCTTCCCGTGATGCAGAAACACGACCAGGTTACATGAGATTATTTTCTTTCAGAGTAAGTCCAGTCTTACAAAATCGGTTCCAAGTATGAGAATTGTGAATGTAATCTCTGGAAACCAACAAAAGTTTGTATAGTGCAGATTCTTTTACTGTATCTGTATTTTCATTATCTAGTGGTACAGTGACAAAAATACTCCTCATGTTCTAAGCAGTAGCCGTAATAAGAAGACAAAATAAACCCACTGCCATCTAGTCGACTCCAACTCCTAGTGAGCCTATGGGACAAAGGAGACTGCCCC